GTCCCAGTTTACTGTCGCCCTCTGGTGGAGAAGGATCCCAACAGGAAGGTGGGAGAAAATCAGGAGGGATGAGGGTTTTCTGTGAAAAAACAAAAAACACCTCAGATCTGTCGTTAAATGTCTTTTTGTTTAGGTTTTGTAGAAATATTACCACTAACCATGTGACATTAACTTGCCTGCCATTTTGGAGATATGACAACCATGGTGAATAAGACCCCAATCACACAGGCCCTGAGACTGCTCTGTGACCATCTGGCAACCATTTGTAAAGGAACAATGATTGTTGGTTGCTGGAGGTTGATGGCATTCTTGGGGAAAGTTATTTTCTAGTGACTTGCCCATGAAGCACACAGGTCACACAAGCCAAGAATAGACTTTTCAGTAAAGGAGATCTCGTAATTAACCGTTTGTAATGATCAATACTGAGGGGGGAAAAAAACTTCAAATGTCAAAGTCTAGCTGTGCAAAAGCAGAAAGTGGACTCCAGAGACATAATGTGAACTTAAAATCAACCTTTAATGCTGATCATTCAGAGGAATAACAAAAAACTTAAAACATTCTGCACATTCAGAAACTAGGTAAGTATTTAAGTTGAACAGAAGGCAGAGAGACACAGCTATGGTGGAGGACATGACAAAGAGCTGAGGAAAACTGAGGACTTAAATACACACGAGGTAAAAGAGAGAGCGGAAACAGCCGGAGGGAAATAAAACACAGGTGAACAGAATCTAACTAATGAGATGAGAGAGTAGCAAAACTAAACAGGAAACATAAACACTGACACTCAGAATAGGACATATGAGCATTAAACAGACATCATCTAAAGAAGAACCGAGAACTAAGAAAGAATATAACAGAACTAGGAAATAATATTGTACATAATAGACATCTAAGACTCAAAAGAATACATCATGAACTCCGCATCACTCAAAAGCCTGGCTCATGACCCAAAGTCACATGACTATACAGATTATTTTGCCCTGAAAACATTTTCTAGCATTTTTGTCACAATTTGTTTGTGTTTCTTTTCTGCTATCTCACTTCAAGTGACATTTTCATGAGGATCTGGTGACAGCTGGTGTTCAGTCACTGCCAATCAAATATGATCAGCCCACACTCACAGAGTCATCATAAAGCACTTGAGCTGAATGTCTCTGTGCTAAACTCTGTTATTCGTGCACTCCACTTGTTTAGCTATAAATAATTATTCTATCTGAAGGCGACATTATAAGACCCAAATTATGACTCTTGCACCGGGAGCCACATTAAGCCTCCAAATCATTTTTAAAAAGGTCACTATTGCAGGCATCTGCTTGCTTTTAGAAACCACATATATTAATATAATATGTAGATATGTATTTATTATGCCTGTGTGTCTGTGTGTAGCTGTGGTGTGCAGCAGGAGTGGATTTGACTGGATGGAGAGTCAGCAGCCAGGAGACATCGGAGAAAGCACCAGCGTGCAGCACTGACCCTCTGCACGCTGACGAGGACGGAGCTGATAAGAAGAAGAACCACACGTCTCCCGAGAAGAGGAAGGTGATTACAGCTCGCTTTCAAAACAGGCATTCATGTTGGCTAAAGCAGAACACTATAAGTTAATATGTGCAAGAATTATCCTCAGTCGTTTAGAGTATCTAAAAATACTTCTGCTGGTGCTGGTTTCACTCACCGAGTAGACAAAGTGATCTATATTCTATAAAGCTAATGCAGAGGCCTGGGTGCAAATGTGCAGTGAGGCCATTTACTGGATGTCTTTCGCCACATTTCCTGTCTTCTTGTCTAAAAAAAAAATGTTTAGATGCATTTAACTGCTCAAAACGATTCTAGATAGCATACACGAGTCATGGCTGTGTTATCCACAGTTATCCAAATACTAATGAATGGTGCTTCAGTGCTTCCTTTACTGACCCATCGTTTATGAAACAAAAAGAAATAAAAGCATCTCAAAGCCTCAGATCTGGCCCACTGCACAGCTTTGGAAAATGTGGAAGACTATTTAACTTGGGTCTTTTAACTGTTTTACATCTTTTTCTACTGATACAGACCGGCTCAGTACTTAAATAATACAAAAACAGTTAAATGACAGAAAAGTTCCTATTTTTTCACCGCATACTATAGAAATATTTGTGTTTTTTTAAACACAAATAAGTTTAAAAAAGGGTGGTGTATGTGACTCACATCCCTGTCCTAAGGGCTTCTTAGACCACTGAGACAATGGGCTCATGTGCTGCTGTTTGGAAACAAGCCACACCTCCTCTTCAGGGTGGAGAGGACTGAGTGATTTCTATCATATTTCATCTCTGCTGTATTTGAAGAATCCAAATCTGTTCTAATTATCATTAAGGGTCCAGGGGAGGTCGTCACATGTCGTCTTTACGAGGGGAAAGAGTTAAACCAGAGCTTGTTTCATGTTGCTACTCTAGGAAAATGTGTAACGCAGCTGGTCGGCAATGAAGTGATGTTTTCTGCTGGGTTTTCCATGTTTATCTAATGTGCAGAGTAAAGAAGGAAAGTGTCTAAGATGCCATTTTTGTTGTCAGGTATTGAGACGTAGTTTAACAACAGCAGGTCCACATTATCCACATCACATTAAGCATCCCAGTGTAAGTGCAGCACCAGGCTTCTCTTCTGTGAGATTTCCTCGTGACGTTTTCCACAATAATCAGGGAAAAGTGATCATTTAAAGACATCTGTGCTCTTTCTCTTTGTCATCTTTGTCTCCTCTTTCCTTTGCTCCCTCAGTCAAAGGAGCTCCAGGAAACAGACACAATGAGCAGTCGAGTGTGGATCCTCACCAGCACCCACTCTGCCAGCAAGGTGGTCATCATCGATGCCAACCAGCCCGGCTCACTGGTTGACCAGTTCAATGTCTGCAATGCCCATGTACTCTGCATCTCCAGCGTGCCAGGTGAGAGTGGAAGTGCTGCTTTTTTAGATGTTCGAACATGTGACGGCCTTCAACTTCTTGTTGCTTTGCGGTAAATGTTGGGTTTCTTGCATTTTCATATGTTAAAGTGTGTCTGTGTGTCTGTCTGTGGGTGTGTGCCTGTGCACAGCTGCCAGCGAGAACGACTATCCAGCCGGAGAGATCGTGTTGGATCCAGGTGAAGGTGGAGCAGGGGGAGGAGAGGACACCGGCAGCGTGGAGGGCATGTTGGCCGGCATCACTCTAGTCGGCTGCGCCACCAACTGCAGCGTTGCACGTAGCAACTGTTCCTCTCGCACAGATACGCCAATCATGGACAAAGGACAAGGTGGGCGCATGATAGATACTCCTTCACTCATGTACTGTTAAGGAAAGTGAGAGGTGTGGATGTCATAGTGTCATTTTGCTTTAGCTCCCATTGCTCCACCGATGAATGGGAAGATTCACCCGGCCCAATCAGCCGAGGAAGCCACGGAGGCCACAGAAGTTCCCGAGTCAACGGCCAGCAACACAGAAATGAGATCTGGACCTCCGGGACCGTTTACTGAGCACGTCTTCACTGATCCTCAGCCTCGTCCAGCAGATGCCTCTGATAGGTAGGAGGTCAAAGTCTGACAAGTCCTCAGGATTGTCTAGGATAGATTAAATGGCACGTTATTAGACAAGGGAAGGAAACAGTTACTGTAAGCATGCCATCAACAGTGGATCAACTTCCCTGTTTGGAACCTGAAACTCTGAATTTTCCACACAGGAGCTCAGGCCAGTCCAAGGAGGAAACATCACACCCTCCAGAGTCAGAGGATGGAGGTGATGAGACCAAAAACTACACCAGCGTGGCCCCCACCATGTGGCTCGGGGCCCAGAATGGCTGGTGAGTCACTCACAACGTCTGCTGAAGCCTCACAGTGTCCACTATCACAGCAGTTTATGGCGTTTTTCAGCATTTTTAACCCTGGGAAAATTAGAGTCCTTAGAGTCAATTAGAGTAAGTTAAAGCTTAAATCAACATTTGATGGATGATTTTTGATAAACATAACAGCTTTACAATTACTTTATCATTTATCCTTGTGCCTTCCAGCTAAAACACACATAAATCTTGTGCGTCTTATAGTTTCTGTGAGCTCGGGAGTATCCTGATTCTGTTTTTCCTTCCAGGCTTTATGTCCACTCTGCTGTGGGAAACTGGAAGAAGTGTCTCCACTCCATCAAACTTAAAGACTCAGTGCTCAGTCTGGTGTAAGAAGAAGAAACAGAAATCAATGCATCTCTTATTTTTATATGTAGTTTTAAGCAGAGTCGAGGATTTTATTTTTATGAGTTTCAGTTTGTCCAGTGATCTCCATCCTTGTAATTGCAGGCATGTGAAAGGCCGCGTGCTGGTTGCCCTCGCCGATGGGACACTCGCGATATTCCACAGATCGGAGGGTAATCGAACTTTAATAGAGACACCAGACGTTAGTCTGTTAGGGGAAGTTATGATTGCAGGTGGAATTGGAGCACAATGTGCGTGGAGAGTCAAAATCAAAGATAGAGAAAGCAGTCAATAAATGACTCCAGTAATATGACACAAAAGGCACAAAAATGCACATTAGAAAGGAATGTAGGGATGATTTAATTTATATGTATGTTTATTTACCTTTGTATTAATTCTTCCATATATTTATTTTATATAAATAAATAGCCCCAACCCACAGTATTATTGTTAGCTAGGCTAGCCCAGCAGCTCAGGTCTTGAGAAATCTCTTGTCTGAGATTCATCAATTGTCTAACAGGCTGTGATTCAAAGTGTTTCCAGAGGACAGTTACAGGGACGGTCCCTTTATTT